GCCATAGATCATGGGGAGAAGGATGGGGGAAGGGAGTACAGAAGTGTTACCACAAGAGAAGCTGGTGCACCTTGGCCCCAAACTTCCACTGGCCTTTCACTGGGTGTCACAGATGTAATGATACATAGGTGGGCTTTTGTGTTTTGTTTTGTTTTGTTTCAGTAACTTTTGTTACTCCTTTTGGGATATGAAATAATTCATAATTTCTTTAAATTAAAAATGCTGCAAATCTATTGATATCATTTGGGAAGGCTCCAACTGTCTGTAAAACACCTACGGGGCAGGGGTAAAGCATCAAAACCAGGAGGTCAAACCTGGCTCCAAAGAATGGAATGATCCATATGGCCCAATAAGTCAAGGATGGCATCATGAAGGAAGGAGAACATCAAGCAGAGCTCGAAAGGTCGATAGGAGCTAGGCAGGAAGAGGAAGGAAACATAGAGGGCCAGCAACGGGGCCAGAGTGCCAGGGCAGGGTGTGTTGGGAAAGAGCAGGAAGAGCTGGATGGTGAACCTAGCCAGATTGTGGAATGTCTGGAAAGCCAGGCAGAGGAGCCTGGGCATCACACTCTTGGCAATAGGAAGCCAGGTAGAGTATCGAGTATGTGAGCGACATAATGATATGGTCTAGTGGTTGAAGCACAGAATGGATGGAAAATGGGGAGATCAAAATCGGGGTGGCTGACAAGGTAGACATGCACTTCTAAGGCTGTAGCCTGGGGTGGGGACAGGGGGAGAGAGTGCATGGTCGCACTGGAGGAAGACCGGATAAGAGTCGCCTAGACAGCCTGTTCTGTCCGTCGTACTCTACACCCTCATTATGGAGTCACCGTAAGGTGTCTGGAGGTTAAATGGGGTACCAACTCACTTATGCTCATGAGTGTCTTCTCTGTGGTGTGAGTCAAAGACACCAAAAACAAGCAAAACCAAACACAATGTGGGCAAGTCCGTTGGCCAACTAGTGAGCTGTGTGGGGAGGAAGAGAGTTTAAAGCATTTATTTTGGGGTTGAGGCCTCACTTATTACAGGATGACAGTGATTCATACCCCACCTTCTTTTTTAAAAAACAGGTGAATTAAAAGGTTGGAACTTCCGCTTTCACTCTGCGTGTCTCTCTCCCAACCCACTTCCCAGTGCAGATGTATCAGGAAGGCTCAGGAAGCCTTATGGGTTTGTCTCAAATGCCCCAACGGAGAGAGAATGGAGTGTAGAGGACCTTATCAGATCAAAAACAAACCTCTGCTGGGAAGGAAGGTCTAGGGAAATGAGTCGTGGACTGGGAGGTGAGAGACACTAGCCGTGTGGACCCCAGTAAGTCACCCCATCCCTCTCAGCTTCAGTGTACCCATCCTTAAAATGGGAGGGCTGGATAATCTCACAGGCCTTTCCAGTCCTGACATTCAAGGCCTCTGAGAGGTTATAGGATGATCTTTGAAAATGTCAACTAAACACAACTGTGCAGAAAAAGATACCATCCCATTTACCACCCACAGGCACTCATATCTCACACACACCCTAAAAGGACAAGTCATAGTGATGCAAAAAGCTCAATTTGCGCATAGAGAAACACGCCCAAATTGTGGGCAAAGTGTCACCACATAGAATTGGATGCCTAAAAAGTCAAATCACATACAATGTGTCATTGCAAAAAAGTCACACTGGCATAGTAAGGAACGGCCCCCTGATAGGTGGATGTGTTGGCAAACAGCAGACTGGAAGGATGGGAGACCTGGAAGCTGGGAAGGGATGGCAAATCGGTCCTCATGGTGGGTTCCAGGTGCCCCATATGTTGGACATGGCAAGTGATGCAAGGACAGTGTCGATCCACCTCCAGGATTTAGTGGAACCCGAGAAAGGGAGCTCGTGGACAGAACAGTGGAAGGGACCTGTTGGAGGGAAGGCTGAGGCTGACTTTCAGTGAGATCCACTAGATCACTTTTTCCCCTTCTGAAAGATGTCATCTGTGGCTTGAGGTTGTTTTGATCCTTTCAAAGAACTTGTTGGCAGCTTCAAAACTGTATTTGGCAGGCGGGGCTCTTGTACTCAGTATGTCTCCCCCCTGTTATTAGAACAGGTGGCATTTTCTGTAGTTAGAAGTCAGCAGGGGCGTGAGTGCTACGGGACACGACTCTCCAGAAAAAGTGCTTCCAAGCGAGTCGTTATGGCTCAGAGCTGTGCTTTCCTTCTCCCAGTCAACGGGAGGAAAGCATTGTTGGACCCTTGCCTGTTAAAACACGGATGGCAGAAACCCTCGAGGGCAGGGACCGTGCCCCTGACATGGTCCTGAACGGCCCCGGTGCGAAGCTGCACGCCCAGGGGCACCTAAAAGGCTTGTCGGAGCAGGAGAGGGCAGCGGCTCCTACACAGGCAGGCATGCCGTGGAGCTGCTCAGCGGCTGAGGTCTTCCCGCAGGTTCCTGAGGACGGAGCTTCCCACACCCTGGGCCACAGCAGGGCGCTCAAAGCTGGGCCGGGAGGGCAACCCCCTTGGCCCGCTAGGTAGCCAGGTAGGGCCTGGTGTGGGCAGAGCCCCCAGACCCAGCTATGAGGTCCCAACAGTGGCAATAAATTACTATGACCTTCCTTAGCTTCAAGTTTTTTTCGCATCCTCAGGAAACATGTTACTTTACCTCCAACCTTTGTGGCGTCTGTTCACACATGTTATTCTTCTCTGTTGGCCGGCCTGTCTTGAGGGGCCGCTGCCCTCTCGGGGGGTCTGGTGCCAGCAGCCCAGTACCAGAACCAGCACTATGTCGGGTCATCCTTGGTGCCACCTCCCAACTCATTCCAAACAAGGACAAAAAATGAAATGTTGTTAAAGGAAGGAGAAATGCTGTTTGTTTCTGTCTCTTGTGACTGGGACATCAGCACCAGGAATTCACAGTAGCATGAGCCCTGCCAAGCCAGGGCGTGAACAGCGAGCCAGGCCCTCCACAGCCGCCCGTGGAGCAGCATGCTGGAAGTCAGGAGACCTGGGTGCAGCTCCTGGCTGCCCTGTGACAGATGAGTGACGTGGGCAAGTTGATTTCTCTGCTTCTGGGAGGCATCGTCTTGCAGCTCCATGCGGTTCTGAGTCTATGATGCTCTGGTCAAAGTACTGGCCTGCCCAGGGTGTGTCTGGGGTGGCTGACACTTAGCACACAAGGAACGAGGAGCCACGGGCTGGCAGAGGTGCCCTTCCAGCCAGGCAGACCTGCACAGGGGTCGGTGCTATGGGAAAATGCCCGGCTTTGTCAGGTGATGCGATGATCCCCTGCCCCCCGCCCCTTGGTCCTTGTCACCTTGCATGAACCCTATCTGCAGAGGGGTCCCAGGGCGAGATGGCATTCCAGGTGTGTCTGCAGCACAGGGCCAAGAGGGCTTCTCCGGCCTCGGGAGCTGTGGCTCAGTGCTGACCCACCGACAGGATGCTGAGTCAGGAGCTCCTTCCTCGCCCTGAGCCAAGAGGGATGGGACTGGGTCGCATGTTTGACCTTGCAGTTTGAGGGTGCAGACAAGTCCCTGTCCTTGCTCACACATGTCCCACATACTCTGTGGTTGCTGGCCGTGACATATTCTGAGCTTTGCCAAAGTCATTTCCAGGTGAGCAGTGTGATTCAGACCAGTGCTTTCAAACTTTGATGTGTGCACAAGTCAGCGAGAAAATCTTGTCTAAAAAAAACGGATTCCAATTTGATTAGTCTGGGGTAGAGCCCGAGAGTCTGCATTTCAAGCAAGCCCCCTCTGACGTCCGTGAAGCTGGTCTGCAAACCAGACTCCGGGCAACAAAGATGTGGACAGAAGGACCAAGGGTTGAGAGTTGCACAACTCGCTGTCTATAGTTGCTTCAGAAATGATTCAGGGCCTTTGTTTCCCATCTTTTGGAGATGACACTGCCTGCTCCGACAGTTTAAAGGTACTACTAAAAGGGCCAAGTGAGTCAACTTAGAAAGTGCCCAGACCTAACAGCGGTGTGAATGCTCTCCACTACTCCTGGCAGCCACGGGATGTCTAGCTCTCACATGCGTTGGAACCCCAGGCAGAATGTGTTAAAACTGCATTAAAACACTGCATTAAAACTGCCTCGGGACCAACAAATACGCCAGCTAACAGACCTGGGTGGGCACGGGAGCACGCATGTTAACAAGCCACTGAGGGGACGTGACGCTGTCGGTTCTGGGACCACACACCCGGAGAAACCCTGTTCCGAGGGGCGAGGGTGCTCCGCGCTCCCCTCGTGTGCAAATGTGAAAGCACAAGGTGCAGCAGAGGGTCTCCTGTGGCTGGTCCCAGACTCGGGACCCTCACTGCCCCGTCGATGGGTGCTTGTCACAGCTAACGCACACAGCAATCTGGGTGACATACAGGCTCTGGTTTTATCGGTCTGGGTGGAACCTGAGCGTCTGCACCTCTAACGAGCTCCCAGGTGACGCCAGTCCGGGGACCGCACTGGGCGCAGCAAGAACCCAGATCAGCGATTCTCGGCCTGGGCGGTCCATCCCAGCCATCTTCTAAATGCTACGAGCATTTAAAAACTTTAATTCCCTAAGTTGGTCTGGGGTGGGGTTCGGGCATTTTTAAAGCACCTATGTGATTCTAATGTGCAGCCAGCGTTGAGGGGCTCCCCACAAATATTCCCTGCCACAGAGGGAAACCAAGGCACCTGCTGAAGGACAGAAATAGGCAGCCAGCTAGGGTCGGCCCACCTGGCCAGTCCAAGGTCAGGCGAAATGAGCTTTAGGCTAGTTCCCTCCTGGAGAAACAGGCAGACTAGCTAGTGGTCTCTTAACACAGATAGGTGTCTGTGGCCTGGCGTGGGCGGGGAAAGGAGCGGAAGCTTTAACTGGAGGAATGGAGAAGACAGATAGTTAGCAGACACGGAGGCAGTAACCACTGCAGCTTCAGACCACACGGCTCTTTCTTTTCCAGCTTCTGCCTGTGATTTTTCCTGCGTTCTCTGCTTGGCACTCACGGGGTACGAGCAGGGTGGGAGACTGACCTGTGCCGTTTTGCCCCCCGGTAGGCGGCAGCGGGGAGCCACCAGTCAGGACAAGCCCCGAGGCCGATGAGGGCTCAGAGGCCGTGCTCCCCAAGCGCAGGAGTGTGTTCCACATCGAGTGGTCATCCATTCGGAGGAGGAGCAAAGGTGTGCACTTCCTCCCCCCACTCTCGGGCCCTTGATTTACTCATCTCTGAACTGAGGACGATGGCAGCACCTGCTTCACAGGGCAGCGGGGAGGACCCTGGGCATCAGGCTCCTTCTTATCCTGGACAACCTCTGACCCCAGCCACAGGTCCCCATGTGTAGGAGACTTTCCTGAGCTGGTGAAATAAACAGGCAGTGGACTGTGTAGGTCAAGGCCAGGAGGGCTCAAACTTGGCTGCCCACTGGAGTCGCTTGCATCCCCTCCTGGAAGACTCTACTTTAATTCTTCTAGGGAGCAAGCTGGGTGGGCTTAAGGATCTTTCAAGGCTCTCCATGAGATTGTTTGCTGCCGGGCCACAAACCACTGGTCTGGGAGGCTAGAGATGCCGAGAGTTCAGTGCTGCAGAGGTGGGAGTGCCAAGGCCAAGGGAAGAAGGGGAGAGGCAGGGAGGGGAAGGGGCTCCCAAAGGCCAAGACTGGGGTCCAGAGGGAAGAAGCCAAAGCCAAGCCAGTGAGGGAGCCAGAAAATTGGATTTAGCTGAGGACACATTCTATCAAAGAGGAAGGAGCTGGGGGGCAAGGTTGGAGGGTCTCCCCAACCTACTGGAAGGCTGGAGCAGCCTCGCAAAAAGCCAGGGAAGAGAGACCATATGATTCGGTCCCCCAAGCCCCAGAGAGGACGGCTGACTTGCCCAGAGTCCCCCACCTGGCAAGGGGCACTGCAAGGGGCAAAACAGATTCCTGGCTTCTGCCCTTTCTACAACACCACCTGCTTCCCAGAAGTGGCTTCCTTGCTCCAGGTCATCTGAGCCACGTCCTTTCATATCCAAAGTGGCCAACCCAGAGAAATGGGCCCGGGGTGTTGTGGAAAAACATCACACAAGCTGGAGAGAACATCAGGATATTTCAAGGGCCACTGTGGCCCGGGAGTTTGTATTTGTCAGCGGCCCTGAGCTCAGTGTGGAAGAGAGGATGGGTCTCCTCAGAGAGTTAATAACCCCCCTCCAAGCACCCTCCTAATGGTAGTGGTACGGGGCTGGGGTGGGGAGGGCCTAACAGAGAGCTCCGTGCAAAGGAGCTTGGGAGGTGAAGCTCGTTCACAATTGCTGAAGAGCTGGCAGGCCGAGGGGAGCTTCAGACAGAAGCAGTGGGTCCATTAGGATACCTTACACAATGGCCTCAAAGCCTGCAGGAATCCTCTTTGCTTCCTACTCTCCCTTTCTAAGCTTCCAAACAGGAACTTGTTTCGCCTGCAAAGTGCAACTTCCTAACCACAGTGAATCTGCAGACCCTTCCCCTTCAAGAGTGGGAACACGGTGTCTTGGATGCAGTCCTTCCAGTGGCTGGGCACTCTGAAGACTCAGGAAAGCATCCTGACTGGGAGCTGCCTATTTAGTGTGAAAATACCAGGCGTTCAGAGCCCAGCCTGCTATTCTCACACTTGACCACAAGAGGGAACCAGAGCATCAAGACCGAAATTTCAAGGGTCCTAAATTCTTTTACCATGTATAAAACCCTACTGAAATTGGCCATCTTTAAAAATAAATTATCTGGTGACAATAAAAAATATGTTTGCAGCCACTTCCCAGGGGTTTTTTTTAGAATTACAAGGACATGCCAAAATCAATTTCCAGTAATGACATGGATATCCCTTATTTCAACCAGCCATTTGCTGCTAAAATGCCCCAAATTCCAAGGTGTACAACCAAAAAAGAGACCCAAACAGCCCATGGTCATCCAGTTGGGGAGAGTCATAGGCAAGTGCAAGCAGACCTTGCATGGCTTGGGCAGTTAACACTCTATGAGCAATAGTGTCCAAGTCCCTTTCTTTGCACACCTACCAGTTGTGCATGTGGTGTACGAGAAAGAACCCTGATTTGGGGAATCACAGACAAGTCACTGTTTCCTCATCTAAAAAATACAAGGATTGAGCTAAATCAGAGTTTGTTAACTAAAGGTCAGTCGAATCTCTAGACTCCTTAAACTCCTGTAAAATGTGTCCATGAGGATGTGCATTTCCCCCCCCCAAAAGGAGAGCCCAAATGGGCTCATAACCAGCAAAAGAAAAAAAAGGGCGGGGGGCTTCCAGCTGCCAGGTGCCAAGGCCCTGGGCTTCCTCCAGTGGGACAGGAAAGAGATATTCCAACGCCAGCCTCCCAAGAAGTTCGCTGCTCTGTGTCAGGGTAGAGGTGTCCTAACTGATGATTTTTTTTTCCCCTCCAACTCCAGTGTTTGGGAAAGGTGACCACCAGGAGAGACAGACCAAAGACCCTTTCCCCTACCAGTACCGGAAGCCCACTCTCGAGTTGCTGGTGAGTAGCCTGGGGCCCGGACCTGGGGCAGCACCCCGTGTCGCAGAGCCTGTGGCGCCAGACGAGGGGCCCGAGGTCCGGGAAAGGCGTTCTCCAGTTTGGGCAAACTTTCTTGAATTCGTGTCTCCAGAAATGTAATTACTTGGGATAAAAATGTCAGTTTTTCACAGTTTACTTTGTAAAGTCTCATATTCCTTTTTATTTGAATTCTTTATTACCCACCTTCCTCCAAATCCAGCATGTACGCATTTAGGGAACGAGATACAGCCAATTTTCAAAAACAGAATCTTTACATGTTTAATTTTATGGGGAGTTGCACTTTAATTCTGGGGAGGGATGCTTTCTTCTGGAAAGCATGTGGTATGGTGGAAGTAATATTTTTTTAAAAAGAAGAAGAAGAATCTAAAGCCCTGTGGTTAAATCCCAATGCTACCGTTCGACCTTGATGTCTGCCATGAGACAGCCTCTCCATGCCTGAGCCCTCACCCACAGAAAGAGAATGAAGCTACTGTGTTGTATTTCAAGGCTGTTGTTCATCTTAACTGAGGTGACACAATGAAACCAAAGATATTCTAGTCTCCAGAAACATGGAGATGATTAAATAGCAATGTCACTAAATGCCAAACATAAGTCTGAGCTTGGGCCACTTCTCAGCGTGAAAAACACAGACTGAGGAGCTTCTTGCCCGTGTCTTGTCCTTGGGCAGGACCTGGACCCCATGGAGGAGAGCGCAGAGATCAGGGCGGACCCCGGCAGCGCCAGGACTGCCTGGATCCGCGGTTACGCGGCGGCCTGCAGGAGGAGGGTCGGCAAAGCCCTCAGTTATATCTCGGGAGAGATGAAGGAGTGCGGAGAAGGGCTCAAAGGTAAAGGGGCTGCGACGACACGCCACCTCCCATTGTCCCTCTGGGAAACACTCCGCCGCAGTTCTCTGCGGACCAGACTGAGCTCTGTCTGCAAAGACAGCAGTTTTGCTAGGGGAACCGACTGGCGTCCCTCGGGACAAGGCTGCAGTCCCTGGAAGTGCACAGCTGCCGATGCTGAGCACGAAGGCTAGCCTTCCCAGGTGGCCCATCACAGGGCTGCAGCCAGGCGTTTTGGCACTGGGACTCTGGAGCCAGCGTCTAGGAAAAATGTCTGTCCCGTGGGTGTCGCATAGGAGAACGGTGTCTACTACTCCAGAAGGTTCTCTTCAGCAACTTCCCCAGAGCTCAGGCCATGGGTGTGACGCCGTCTGTGCAGCATGGGAGTTTTCCTTTCGGATCCATCTTCTTGAAAATGCATGCCATTCTCATGGGGACACAGGTAGCTCAGGGCGCCCACTGCGTGAAAAACAGCCCAGAGACCACAGCCAATGAGCAGCGGGTCTGAAGAGTTAGCTCTCTGCGCAGTGGAGCGGCCTCTTGGTTCCTGGGTTTACCCGCTTCTGTGGCAGGTGGCGGCAGGGGGCTGGCTCCCTGCAGACCCACGGTGGGCGGGTGGGCGTGGGCCTTCCCTCCCACCCTGCGCCCGCCCTCCGGGGTGGGGCCCAGGGCTGCTGCGCCTGAGCGCTGACCGCCTGCCCGGCTCCGTTTCAGACAAGTCCCCCGTGTTCCAGTTCCTGGACTGGGTCCTGCGGGGCACATCCCAGGTGATGTTTGTGAACAACCCCCTCAGCGGCGTCCTCATCGTCCTCGGCCTCTTCGTCCAGAACCCCTGGTGGGCCATCTCGGGCTGCCTGGGCACCGTCGTGTCCACACTGACGGCCCTCGTCCTCAGTCAGGACAAGTAAGTTCCAGGAGACCTAGGGTCCCGGCCTGAGGCCGGAGGTCACTCCCTGCAGGGACCATGGCCACCTTCCCTCCCCTCGCTGCCGGCTCCCAGCTCAGAAACCCCTCAAAATAAGGACACCAATGACTAAAAACAACCACTCCCTGGTGACTTGTAACTGCTGCATGCTGTCGGGGAATGGGAGGAGGGGCCGTCCCTTTGAAGGTGTGTGGTGTCAGGCCCCAGTTGAGAGAAGCCTGACTCAGAAGGAAATCAAGATGGCAGCACCCCTACACCAGGCCTTGGGGGGCCCCCACTTCCCTCACCCCCTCTTTCCCCCCAGATCGGCCATCGCTGCAGGACTTCAGGGCTACAACGGGGTGCTGGTGGGGCTGCTGATGGCTGTGTTCTCGGACAAAGGCGACTATTACTGGTGGCTTTTGCTCCCCGTCATCATTATGTCCATGTCTTGGTAAGTGGGCTTCTGAGGCTGTGGGTGCAGCTTGGGGGCTGCCAGTGTTTTTACCCCAACTCCGTATCCGTCTGTCTGAACTCCATGTCTGTCTGTTTAAACTCGCTGCGAAAGTGGCATTCGCTCAGCTCGCACAGCAGAAACTTCCACGGGAATGAATCGCTAATGTCATACAGAGTCAGCATTGTGCTAGGTGGCCTGTACACAGTATCTCCTTTCCTCCCATCATTTACTCCTGTTTTTCTTTTTTTGAGACCTAAAAGGGTGCCTGCCCCTGCCCTACCAGAGCACAGGGAGAGCAACTGAGGGACACACAGGTCCCGTCAGGGGCCTGGAAACCCACCATGGGGTCCTATTGGTTTCTGAAAGAAAACCTTCTCATTCCTCCTGCTGCCACCCACCCCCTCCCAAGCTTCTTCCTGTCCTTGGGACTCCTGACCAAATTGGGACAGCCTCCCAGTGTGGGCGGGAGGCCCAGGCAGAGCCCTGAGATGCCGGGCCCGAGCTCCTCCTTCCCCTCCAGAACTCGCAGGGCACGCCAGCCACAAAGCTCCGTGCTCTCAGCTGCTCGGCAAACTTTTGTTGCTGGAATGAACGTCCCTCCCTGCCTCGTCACTCCCCCAGCCTGTCCTCTCTCCTTATGCCAGGACGTGGAGCTATGTGACTTTTAAGGGAGTTCTGTGACTCCTTGCCTTCAGACGTCCCTTCCAAAAGCCCTCCCTCGCAAGTTGAGTCTGGGCATCCGCCCTGTTGCTGTGCCAGGGCCAGTCAGGCACAGACAGTCTGCTTTTCCCCAGGACGGCACGGGGAGCACCCCGCTCCCGCGCAGTCTCGTGTCAGGGTCTGGGGCTTCTTGAACAGCATCTCCTGTGCTTCTGCCACCAGCCCCATCCTCTCCAGCGCCCTGGGCACCATCTTCAGCAAGTGGGACCTCCCGGTGTTCACGCTGCCCTTCAACATCGCCGTGACCCTGTACCTGGCGGCCACCGGCCACTACAACCTCTTCTTCCCCACGACACTGCTGCAGCCTGCATCCGCTGTGCCCAACATCACCTGGGCGGAGGTCCAAGTGCCCTTGGTAGGTACTGGGGGAGGTGGAAGGACAGCACGCATTGCAACTCAGTGTTGAAACGGCCCTTACTGATTTTGCACATCAGAAACACCCACGAGCGGTAACTACTGTTAACAGTTATACAGTGAGAGACACTCAACACACAGCTCATCAGTTGCCACCACGCTTTTCTCTTCTCTTTCTAACTGAGAGCTAAAGAGGCCATTTCTGGTCCCACAGAGGAAGAAGCTGAGGCCAGGTTGAGACGCAGCTAATTGGGAAACAGCAAAGTTGAGACTGGAACTCTGGCCTCCTGTCTGCTAGACCTGGGTTCTTTCTTTTTTCCTTTTTGTAAAAGTCTTTTCAGTGTTTTATTCCAGTTTTTAATCCAGCTCACACCCTGTATTTTCTTTCACTCAGTCTCCTTGCATCATTAACCACATACGCACCACACCGCCACCTATCGGCTAAGGAGGCCTCTGCTCCGACCTCCGAGTTCATTGCACTTGCTCTCTGAGGCATGCTCACGCTTTAAAGCACAGGTGTTCCTCCATTAAAACATGCATATATAACAGAGCTTTTAAAGTTTTTTACAATTATTCTGTATATAATGCTGGCCTCTGGAAGTCTGCCAAGATAATTAATAAGGAGCTACACTAAGAGCATTAAATCAGCCTGGAGAAATGAGTCCATTAGCCTCCTTATCTAAGTGGACACGTTTTCTCTGAGGCCCTTCCACCTTCCGGCACGCTGAACAGCCCCCCGACTGGGCTCCCTCAGAAACTCCGTTATTGTCCATTTATCACCTAACCACAAAACCACTTGCCCTTGTTGAAAGAACTTTTGAAACTAACGTTGCCTAATTTCTCTTGGCGTTTCAAAGTCTGCCACAGCAAGGCATAGTAGAAAGAGCCCTGCACTTGCCCCAAAGCATCATTATTTAGGAAGAGAAATATCCGCGTTAGCCCCATTTTGGGGATTTGTATGTGTGCGCGCGTGCGTGTCTGCGGGCCTTCGTGAGCCTGCGGTGAGGAAAGGCGCCAGGTTGCAATTCACTCCTGAGGCTTCCCTTTCCTGGTATTTACCCATCTGTGCTTTCAGGAGGCAAAGTTGTCTAACGGGTGTGCTACAGAGAGATGGCGTTGTTATAACAGGCAAATTTAAGGTGCTTTGCATTCTCCAGGCCACATTTTCCATGGAAAAGCTACCTACAAATTTTGTAGAAATGAAAAAAACGAAGTTACGGTATCCTGTACAAATACTTTAAAACCCCAACGTTCCAGGAAAGAAAAATTCGATTCTGGGTGGTGGTTCTTTAGAAGTAACTTTCTGGACAAATGAATGGGTTGTGGTCATGATGGAGACATTTGGTCTTTTGACCATGTCATGAGAAACTTGAGTGTGGGGGGCAGAGGCGGTAAATGTCAGAGAGAGGGTTTAACCCCCCCCCCCACAGGTGTGAGACCCCGTGAGTTCCTCTGCTCCTGTGCCCACTGCAGAGCCCCTGGGGGCTGACCGGTGCCACTGACTGGCTATAAAACTCTTGATTGTCCTGCCTGCCCCCTCCCTTGGGGATGCCTGAGCCCCCATTCTGTTCTCTGTTCCTGGGGTCGCAGGAGCCTGTGCCTAGGGCTCCCACAGCATCCTCCTGTCTCACACCTTCCCACAGGTCAGAGTCCTCTCAGAGGACACAGGCTAACAGAAGACCTGCCTCATTGTAGCGTATACATGCTCTGGCCCCAGGCCTCTGCTTCCCCTCAGCTCCCTGCCCAAGGGGCGAGACAAACCCCAGGGCCTCCTAGCACGGCCCAGGGCCTCCCCGCTTAAACACTTTCCCAGCTCACGGGGCCTTGGCCAAACTCCCACGACACAGGGTCCAATCCCAGCCGCTGGGGAAGACTGCATGCCCAGGATCCTTTTCCCAAGTGCAGGGCACAAGGGCCAGTGCCCCCCGGGCCCTGGACCCTGGCCTCCTCAAACCCTCTATCCACACATGCGATGCGTGGGAGCCAGATGCCAGCAGGGTGCTCACCTGCCGGCCACCATCAGAGGAGACAGCCATCAAAGAGCAGCTGTGACGACAGTGCCTGCTCGGGGCTCTCCCGTGGGTGCCAGTCCACTTGCTCACCCAGACCAGACACTAACGTGACCGCAGCCTGGACGTGTTGTTCTTGAAAACACAAAGGACCATGTTTCCAACTCGTCTGTAGCCTTCGACTCACCTTCTTAGCTTTGAAAGGAATGTTACCAGAGGGTTTTTAAACCCCAAGGTTGTCGGTTTCCCTTCACTGGGGGTTGAGTGACTCACACCCCTGTCTCTAAACCAAGGAAACGCAACACCCGAACCCCTTACTGTTCTAAGAACTCAAGATGAAAACAGTTAAAGCTCATGTTCCTTTCAGAGTTAACCTATTTGAATAATAGTATCTTGGACACCTGTTGCAAAATGTCAGCGTGGAGGGTTTGGCGCCAAATTTTTCCCAGCCAAGAATAAAACTGTCTCTTTGCACGTGACACCCACAGCTCTTGAGAGCCATCCCCGTTGGAATCGGCCAAGTGTACGGCTGCGATAACCCCTGGACCGGAGGCATTTTCCTCATAGCTCTGTTCATAGCTTCACCTCTCATTTGCCTGCACGCTGCGATTGGATCCACCATGGGGATGTTAGCAGGTCAGTATCGTCAATTCTCCCTTACTAATGCCCCATGAGGATGTCAGTGCCTGGGACCCACCCCAAAGAAAATGGTGACATGTGTCTTCAAAGCTTCATCTACTTATTTCTGTAAACTTTCCCTCATTTCATTGTGCCTTGTTTTTTTCTATTTTGGATGTCAGCAACCTTATGCTCCTGTGAGCAAAAGCTGTCCTGAAGAAAGACTTTGGTGTTAGTCATTTACACCTTAGTATAAATTTAAAGTTTGGGAGGGGTTTCTTCCAGGCATGTTTATATTTTAAGTCTTATATTGAATGATGATCCAAAGGATGTATTTTCCACTAGCGAACATTAAGATATCAATGAAGAAGGAGAAGTCGTCCTGTTTTTGGCCGGGGAAGGACTGTCTCTGGACTGCTTAAGCCAGGCTTCAGAGTTCCTACGAAAAGGGCCTCCTGTACCCACAGCAGCATCACCACTCATATTCATGTGACATGGTGGCCATTTGTTTCCTGTAGGTGTTTTCTCACTGAATAAAATGCTAAGTCCTTTCTTATAAATGTCTACGAGGATAACGAGTCTGGGTTTCCAGGAGAACGGTGGGTTCCGGGGCCGGCAGGGAGCCTCAGGAAACCCCGTGCCCCCACCCCACACGCACCGAGGTGTGTTTTCTCCCACAGCTCTCAGCCTCGCGACCCCCTTCGACACCATCTACTTCGGCCTGTGCGGCTTCAACAGCACGCTCGCCTGCATCGCCATCGGGGGCATGTTCTATGTCATCACCTGGCAGACCCACCTCCTCGCCATCGCCTGCGGTAGGTACTGCCGGCGAACCCCCGTGCAGCAGAAAAGATGGCTGGGTCCAGCCTGCAAGGACGCCCGCCCTGTGGAAGTTCTGCTGGTCCTTTAAAGAGTAAAGTGAGGATCGTTTGTTTTATAAAAGGATTTTATCTAAAACTGTTTTTGAGTGATTGGCTAGGGATAAATATATTAAAAACCCTTTTCACACCTGGCTGGCATAGCTCAGTGGATTGAGCGCGGACTGTGAACCAGTGTCGCAGGTTCGATTCCCAGTCAGGGCCCATGCCTGGGTTGCAGGCCACGGCCTCCAGCAACCGCACATTGATGTCTCTCTCTCTCTGTCTTTCTCCCACCCTTCCCTCTCTAAAAAAATAAATAAATAAAATCTTTAAAAAAAAAAAAAACCCTTTCACTGAGCGCAGAATGTTCAGCTGCTTGAAGACAGATTTTTTTAGATGGTGCTTGTTTGGTGGTTGTTCATGGCTCTGTCTCCTGTGACTGCTGCCTTCCTGGCCAGGGAACGGGACTAACCTACAAAGCAACACTTATGCAAATGTATCTTTATATTTGAAGTTGGGTGATTTACATCAGATACAGCAATTAACCTTAAGCACCCAAACATTGACCATAGGACCTTCAAATAGTGCCTCGATCATGGGATGTGGTCAGGATGTGGTCAGCTGGGCACTCAGTGACTCTCTAATAAAGGTTCACTGTTAACATCCTAGGAACAATGGGATGCTTTTAGTTGAGAAAGTAAAGGTTCAGAAGCAAAGCCCAACTACCCTGGCCCATTTTCACAGACCCTCACCAACGGCTAGCACTTGGCTCTCCCCTGTGGCCAGCCTGGCCATGCCCTCCCCTTGCAGAGCGTCGGAGATGACGCAGTCAGTGCACTTGGTATTCCTCAAGTTCACGGAATGCTGCTCCTCCCTGGAAACCCATATTATGTTCATAAATTGTGATGAAATACACCAGCAGGGAGTTCTGGGATTCACTCCTCTTGGCTGCATAGTAAAATTTTCATTTATGGTTTATGCCACTAAATGTTCCTTTGCTAGAACGCAAGGTGGTGGGACCCAGGAGAACCGTAACAGCTCAGTTCTGGCCCTTTTTAACAAAGTTCATCTGCTGTCTTAGGTGTGCCAGCATTTGCTTGGAATTTAACACTTTCCTAAGCTGCCAAGCAATGGAAACAAAACTCAATTTTTTTGTAATCTGAGAGCGAGCATTTTGGCATAAACTGTATGTGGAGAGAATGTGTAGACGAAGGTTGAGGTGCTGTTAGTCACATGACTGTTTTTTGGTTCCGTTCCAGCCCTGTTTGCAGCCTACCTGGGTGCCGCCCTGGCTAACATGTTATCTGTGGTGAGTCCCCGCGAGCTAAAAGCGTGCCCCAGCACCCTTCCTGGTGTTCTCCCATCTCCCCAAAACTAACGCAAAGCCCCTCCTCTGGGAAGCCTTCCCCAGTCCATCCCTCTTGTCTCAGATTCCATCCCTCCCCTCAGCTCCTGCTGGACGTAAGACGCTGGACCTCAAACGTTTCAATGTCAAGTGTCGCTCAGTCAGGACCATTGTCAGTGGGGCAGCAATTTGAAGAGCGTTACCTTAGCAATCAAACTCCTTTCTGATAGAGCTCTGGTTCTGTCGTCCCCTAGAACTAGTTTTAAATCTTTATCATTTGTCTTGTGTGTTTATAGATCATCTCCCAACCAGTCTGTGGGCCAGTTGTTTGTCCCGTAGTAACTAGCATGGTGTTGGGGGTCCTGAGGGAAGGCTTTGGGGGGGGGACAGGGAGCCAAGCCCCAGGCAAGCCTAAGAGCAGCTAGTGCTGGTGGCTATCAGCCCGTGCAGCAGGCCGAGAACCCCTCATGTGAGCCGCCCCACCCCCCACGCAGGTGGTGCGTGAGGTTAGGAGGCACCACATGGCCAGGACAGCCCCCTCATGCACAGGCCCCAGCGCTGAGTGCTCAGGGCTCAGCCTGCAGTCATTGCCTCCCCACCTTGGATGAGGGTTCAAGGTCACATCTCCCATGGGCAACCAGGAAAAGTCCAGTGGTCCTGTGGGTAGAGATACATGTGGGCATTCTACTCACACCTGTCTAAATCCCTTCCTAGTGAAACTGGACTTGGTGTGGGAAAGAAGTTTCTAGGCATAGAATTATTCTTCCCTGATACCATCCCATGTCCCCATGGGCTAAGTCCCTCCTCTGAGCCCCATCCAATTTTGTTCGAGCAGCTGCTACAACATGCGACACGCAGTACTATGGTGACTCAAAAACACTTGGGGCCCTTCCCACCTTCAGCCTGCGTGCTCCTTCAGAACAGGGACCCAGTCACATCTTCATCTCTATCTCTAGCACCTATTACAGGGTCCAGCATACAGTGGGTGCTCAAGAAATGCTGAAGGAATGAAACCTTAAGGTTGTGAGCTCCATCATTAAAGCTGGGACTAAACAGCCAACCATCAGAAACATGGACGGGGGCAGGAGGATGGAGTAGAGCTTCTGAGACTCCTGTCTGCTCCTGTCATTCTTGTACCCCAACTCCCCCAATCGTCCACCCAACAAGTGCTTGTCACTGGCTTCCTCAGGCACAGTGCTGGAAGGGACGGGAAACAGGAGGCTTTGGTTCTTGTTCATGGGCATCTACACGATGACTGGCCCTTTCCTCTGTTGCAGACAAGTTACAGGTTACACCACTCAATTTAGATATTTTTCAGAACAAATTCAAGTTTACTTTCCATGTGCTATTATGTTTAAGTCACTGTGCTGACCTCTCTCAGGGATGCAAAAATGTGCAGGCTACTAACACACTCTGAAGGAATCTCCAGTCTTGTCTATATATAAGGGTTGAGTGACATTTGTGAGACTGTTCAAGCCCACCACGCAAGAGAGCACTTAGGAGCTCCCCTCGTTTGCTTTCCAGCTGGCCCATGTCTTCAACAATGCCTCCCTCAGATGATGGCCACAAACTGAGGAGTGTGCTTTGGGCACCAGCTCTGAGTAGATATTATTATCCCTATTTTATTATTGATGAAACCACAACAAGGTGATTGGAACTGAGACTTGGATCTGGGCCTGTGGAACTCCCCGCCCACATCCTTCCCACTACGGGACTTGAAGGAGACGCCCCCCAGACACCCGGTGCAGGCTAGCAGGGCTTTGGAAAGACTCACTGAGTGGAGTTCGTCACTCACAGGTATTCCTTACGGTTGCAGTTCTGGTACGAGGCTGTCATTGTTCTTCCCCAAGTCCCATCCGACAGTGACACCTGTGAACACATGCGTGGCCAGTATTGTTGCCCCCATGGTATTCCCTTAGCTTTTTGTTCCTTATAATAAAATGGTATGTAGGGACAAGGGGGCGTGGTTTGACCTGCCTCACAGCTGAACTTGCAGTCTCCGTGTTAGCAAGCCGTCCATTCCAGTTATTTCAGAGAAAGAGCAGGGAAGAGTATTTAAAAGCTTCAGGAAATGTTAGGAATAAAAGAACAGGTCAACACCATGGGAAAGGAAGCTGGGAATGGGTGAGCCTTGGGAAGAGAGGTAGCTGCTCTCCAACTCCAGCTCTTGGGGCTGGGATGTCACGTCTCTGCCTCTCTCTACATCTCTGCTCTATTTCCCTGGGTCTCTCTGTGATGGCAGAGCCCCCAAGTGGCCACCCAGACCAAGAGCCTCTGGACACAGACTCTGTGCCTCTTAGTTCAAATTCTCAAGAGAGGAATTCTGTTCTCAGGACATCTGCCTATGGGAAGCTGCATTTGAGTCAGGTGTCTGTCTCTTGTCCAGTCAGCCATGACTAAAGAAAAAAGGCCTTGAACTATAAAATAACTGTCAAAGCCATGCCTTCAACAGGGGCTGCAGAAGGAGGCAGGAATGGCCACAGTTCCTTAAGGGAGAGATATAGGCTGGCCAGGTAACCCCAACAAAACATGTCTCCCACATCAAGGCATATTATAATCAGGTTCAAATGGCTGCATTTTGAAGTATGTGAGTTCACCGGTAACACTGCCAGCTGACAACACCAGCATGGTTTTATTCCTATTGATCATGCATCAGTTAGTCCGATAGTATTAGTCCTATCAATTCCCACAAAGCATCCCCTCCTCTTCCCGGGGCTGGAGGCATTTGGCAGGGGCTGATGAAACAGGCACAAGCATCTGATGTAACCAAGGCCCCCCTTTCGTTCTTCCTTCCCCGCAGTTTGGACTGCCAACCTGCACCTGGCCCTTCTGCCTCTCCGCGCTAACCTTCCTGCTCCTGACGACCAACAACCCCGCCATCTACAAGCTTCCGCTCAGCAAAGTCACCTACCCGGAGGCCAACCGCATGTATTACCTGTCCCAGGAGAAAAACAGAAGACCGTCAACCGTAACAAAGTACCAGGCCTATGATGTCTCCTAAGTTGCCCTTTCCAAAACACGTCACTAGAAATTGAACCTTTAGCATGCCACACATGTCCCCAGGCCGAAGGCCACCTGACCTCCTCTTCTATCTGTTCTGCGATTCCCCACCCCCAGAGCAGGCCTAACCCCACTGACTCCCAAGCACAGGGAGATACTGTGTGGTCCCCACTCAGGAACCTCTCCGTTCTAAGAAGCGCAACACTCATCAAAGGTACGGTGGGTTTAGACTTTGCACAGCTCACTCCATAGGAGTTTCCCTTAATGGGAATATTCCTTCTTTGGCAAAATAAGCCACATCCCCAAAGAAAACTCACCAAGAAGGAGAGAGAGGTTGGTGACATGGTCATCCAACTCAGTCACCCAATGCAGCAACGCACAGTGTCAGGAAACACACATTAGACTAGAAGAGGAAGGGCTGGTTCTGCCCCAGCTCTGACACTAATGAATTCCTGCCGCCCCAGGTGAGAACACCCTCTGTCTCTCTCAGCCTCAGTTTCTTACTGGTTTCACGACAGGGAGGGACTCGGTCATCCCCTCCACCTTAGCAGTGTTGATTCATATCGCCCTCTCTCTCTTTATTTCTCTCTCTCTCTCCCCCCGTAAACTGATAAAATCAGCATGACCAACAAGGACTCCCTGAGAGTTGAGTGAGAGATGGAAGGGTTACCTGGGGGAGGGGCAGAACAGTTTTAACGATCTGTGGAGATTTATTCTGGAGTCGTGAGAAGATGTTCTCCAGACTTGGGGTTAGGAACCTGATTCACTGGAAATGCCAACGTGTCTTTCTTCACATAGCAGAAACACTTCTGGAAATGTCATAAGATGAAAAGTGATCTTTTTCAACATTCAAATCATATTTTCAACAAACGCATTCCTTTTTGTAATAGACGTAAACAACCTCTCATTAAACTGTTAAGTTTACAAGCTGGTATCAGGGGTTTTTTTTTAATGCAGCTCACCTACATCGCTCACGCATTGCCCATGGGCGGGACTTGCCACAGTCAAGCAGGTGTCCGAAGAGAGGAGAATCCGTGCAAAATGCTCAGGAGAGGTCTCAGTTGGTTCGCAAAGAGGGTTATACAGAAAGGACAGTGGGCTCTTTTTGTCTGAGTTAAAGCACAGGATGCCAACAACCCACCTCACTCTCCAGGGCACAGTCTTTCGGCCTTGTGCCCCCAGGTTCATAAACCCAAACCCCTTTGCTATGTGATGCCTTCGGTTGTAGCGCTGGACTCCGAGAGCCCAGAACCCCTTTGTGGGAAGCCAGGAGGCTCAGCCTCCCCACCCCTCCCCCCGAGGAGTGTGGATGCAGCTCTGACAGCCCCCCATCTCACACGCTTCCAGTTCAGCATGATGGGTGAGGATCTAAGGTGGGGGGCGTAGGAAGGAGGCAAGGGGGGGGTAGAGGAGACCCTCTGTAAATGCAGCTTTAAGGAAAGAATTCCATTTGACTAAAATCCATCGTGTAGGAAAAGCTAGCGTCCACATTCACCTTTCCTTCTCCCTGCCTGCCCTGAGGTCCCGGCTGTGTTCCGTCGGCCCAAGAGCACTAGGCTGCCTGTTTCTCCCCCAGACCGTATCCAGCCAGTTATGACTTGTCCCGGAAAATGGAACACTTCTCGCTGCAAACAAATCTCCCACATAGGAAAGGGGAGAGAGTCACCCTCCAGGGGCTGCTTCTGAGTTTGCGGTCACACCTTGAGGCCAGGAAGGTCTCCGGCTGTATTTTAATGGCAACGGAGTTACGGTTCTCTGAGGATTAGGCATCCAGGAATTTCACCAGAAGGCTGTTTATGCTCACAGCTCACTCAGCTGCCCCAGAACCTCTAAGTGATGACATAGAACTATTAAAATACCACTTTTTATGCATTTTCCAAGAAAGTGTTATAATCTGGTTTTATTAAGAGCAGGAAACCTCTGAGTGCATGCCTTTCTGATTATTGACCACTAACAAATCCCTTTAGCTCTTCTAAGCATTTCAATATCCTCACCTATAAAGCAAATTGAGTTGGCCTAGGATAACAAGCAAGGTGGAAATAGACGGGACAAAATAATTCAACTTGAGGAAATGTACAATGACCACAGCAGTCTGTTCCAGCACTTGGATTAGGCATCAACAAAGGAGAGAGGGAGGCAGCTCACACCAGCTCCCGAGAACCAACGGTGCATGTGAGCACTTATCTCCCAAGGCCATGTTCAGTGACATCCCGTGGGGAGCTTGAAAGTGGCCATGGTGGGAGTCTTTACACCCCAGTAATTGGCAAACTACAGATCTGGGCTCTTTCCCTAGAGAGCCAGCTTACTGGCACAACACTGACCAGCCAATCTGGTGGGAAGAAAAGAGAACAATTACAGGGCCCCTAACCAGAGTCTCAGAAACCAGGGCCAGAAGATTCAGTGCAGCAACCCTACGGGGACGCCATAGCACATACAAAAGGCATTTAAGAGAATCACCAAAGTGTACTTGGGCATAAAAGGACCTCCAAAGATTTACCCACAGGGCCCTACACTGAAAAAACTGCAAGTAAGAAGACAACAAATCTAGGGAATACTACAAGAGACATGAGAATACTGTAAGTGATCAAATACCTTGGTAATGCTTTTTTTTTTAATCAGGACCAAAGGAGGGAAACAGAAGAACTACACATATAACGACCTAGAACTGGAATATTGAATGATGACCGGAAGGGGTAGAGAGACAAAAGGAGCAGGAGAGCCTGTTGGAAGACTTAGCTTATACAAGAGTTGATAAGTTTCAAAAGCCCACAGGCAGGAGTAAACATGGGTGCTAGGGGTGACCACCATGAGAACAAAATGAGAAACACAAATTTTGAACCAGAAGAATATTCTCTTGCCAATGGGGAGGAGAAAAGCACTCTAGAAAGTCACCCAAAAATGGTAGTAAGTAAAAAGACAGATGGCACAAATTAGTCATACTATGACAGTGATTGACCCCCCAAAATGTTAACTATTAAATTTACCGCTGCAAGACAGAAATGCAAGGGTGGTACTTTCATAAAAAGAGCTAACAATTTGCTGTTTATGAGAAACCCATTTGAAACCGAAAGGCACAAAATGTTTAATACAAAGATGCAATAAGATATACTGAGCAAGTGTGGACTAAAAGAAAGCTAGGGCATCAACCATAACAGCTTGAAAGGTGAAGAACAAAGAATGACATCAACCAGCAATGGGGCAAGAGCACGTAGTAATGATAAACACTCATGTCCTGAACAGTCAGCCTCAACTTGCATCAAGCCACAGTTGACCGAACTGCAGGGAGTAACAAACTAACCAATCATTGCAGCTAAGATTTGACCGAAACCTTAGAAACTGACACATCAAAAGAACAAAAAAGGATCAGATATCAGGGATCTAAACAATAGAATCAATACAAGTGAGCTATTATATACATTTAGGATTCTAAGCCCTCCTACACCACATCACCCTCCAAAGAACAAACAGAACACATTCTTTTCAAGCACCCACAGGACGTTTACAAACTAGACCGTGTGTTATGCTAGTGGGGAGCTGACTGGTGCAGCCATTTGGAGAACAGGTCCTCAGAATAAGTATAAACACCCCCTGCAACCTGGAAATTCCCCTCCAGAGTACATGTGGCTCCCAGGCACAGTGTCCCCCATGTCCCCGGTGGGCCACCTGCAGGGTTGTTCACCGCAGCACATGTTTGTGACGCAGAGAGCCACAGGAGAAGGCAGAGGCAAAGTGGCAGGACACACAGGGGCATCCTACCCAGCAGGTAGACCCTCAGTATTACTCATGTTGGTCATGAGAGCAGATCTTAAGAACCTAGTGCTGGGGTAAAAATAAGAAAACGTGTTTATAATCAATATCATTTGCATAAATTAAAAATGCATGCACATGCAAAACCACAGTATGCATTTTGCAAGCACACAAATAAAGGTACATGGAAATGCCAAAAGGAAAAGAGAGTGGGGTATAAAAATGAAAAGACAGACACACCTTCATTCATTCAAGAGAGGGGCCTTGCAGAGACCGGTGAAGAGGATGTGCAGGGACAAAGGCACGTGATTAACTCAACTTTGTCAAAACGTCTTCATATGGGCGGGGCATAGCGTGTGCCCTGCTCAGCCGGGTCAGGGCCCCCGGCCGTCAGTGTCAGTGACCCCAAGGTGGGGCCAAGTCCATCTGCAGAGGCCCCTTGCACCCCATTCCCCCTCCACAAGTATTTAGAAGCATTCTGGCCACACTGCAAAGTTTTTCTATATACTAAAATAAAAGGTTCTGCCCTTTGCCCCCAAATTAAACAAACATTTGAATTCCTAGAGTAACAATGGTAATGAACATATGTATCTACTTGTGCTTTTAGAATGTTTTCAAATCTCTGATGAAATGTGAAAATAAGGGGAAACTTTTTAGCTGTTGTTGAGATGACAGAAAGGTGGGGGAAAAAAGACATCCTTGAACATAAAAGATATAGGATACAAACTGAGTTTAGAAAAAGCAAGGGCCCAAATAAAGATAATGAAGTCACATAACCTCCTGTAGTCCTCAGACCTCCCCGGTAAGTCAAGCAGAGGCGGTGAGGAAGGTCCAGCCCTCCTCTGCTACCAGTGGCAGGAAGCTGATCTCTCAGAGCCTGCAGCTCACCCTCCACAGGACGAGGATCACCCCCGCCTAGGAGCAGTGTTGCCGGGAAGGCTAAACAGGAACCCAGGAAAAGTGACTGGCCCCTGTAAACAGGGCCCATCGGCACTGGAGGGACGGAGGAGCCCACCTTCTTACCCACAATTCCCAGGCAGTCCCAGTAACCAGAAAGGCCCAGCAGAGCCTGGGCATCATCTCATGGGTTTTCTTTAAAATGTAAGTGTCCAGGGCCAGAGGGGCCAGATCAGAACCCCTTTTTAGCTTTAAGACGTTAGGGAAAGAATTGGCAGGCTATCCGTGTGGGCGTGAGCCAAAGGTGCCCCTCACTTCACCGTTTGAACTACCTTCTTCCTTCCCCTTACCTTGTCAGAGCAGAGCAGCAGTTGTTCTAGGAAAACTTCCTCAAGACGAACTCCCCAGAGGCCCCTTACAGACACTGCCATGGAGTGGACCACACATCCGTTGTGTTTCCATTACACGGGTCTTTTCTCTCCAATTAGACTGCAGGTCCTGTGAGGACAGTGGTTGTAATATATACACCACACACCCACACAACACACATACAATCCCACACACGTGTGTGTGCATATACATATATGTATGCACACATGTTATATACACAGGTGTGCACGTGTGTGTGTGTGCATGGTTTGTGCCTTCACACACACATACACACCTGTATACAGGGTGGGGCGAAAGTAGGTTTACAGTTGTTCCTATGGAAAATAATTCAATAATTAACAAATAAGAATACAGAATAAACTCCATGCTTGTGTACTCACAACTGTAAACCTACCTTTTCCTGCCCTGTAAGTGCAGCTACATACACAGAGACACAGTTGTTTTTGTCCCTTTCCTTCACAGAACTAGCCCACGGGCGGGCACAGCGGAGCCCCGAGCAATAACGGACTGAGTGATTGACTGAAACACCCTCCCAGCTGCATTCTCTCTCCCTCTACGCAGCCCCTTCGCTCATCCTGCTGGAACTCGAGATCTGCTTCGCACACTCAGCCACATGCACAGAACGGACGTGGAAGCTCAGGCAGGCCAGCTGGCTGAGTCCTGCTTCCCCGACTTCCTGCCCGCATCCTCCTCCCCACACAAGTCCCCTGAGCAGTGTTGAGGGGAAGGACCCCTCGGAATGGACACACCATTTATCCCCACACATCTCATCCTTCTATGGGCAACAACTTCAGCCCTGTGCAAATGCCCTTGGCCACCATCCTTCTCTTACAGAACCTCCACAGTCGGGACCCAAATCATGCAATGGTCTCAGGTGAGGCAGGTAAATGGTAGACCAGTAGCGCTCAAATTTGAACATGCATCAGAAACACCTCGAAAGCTTCTTAAACAGATCTCTGGGCCCCAACCCCAGAGTTTCTGATTGAGTTGGCATGGGGAAGGAGCTGAGAACACTCATTTCTAACAAGCTCCCACATGATACTGATGCTGTTGGTCCAGGGACCCCACCCGGGGAACCACGGTGTAGACCGAGAAATCGGTTGCTGCCTCCGGCCATCCCTTCTCCCTTTGTTGCATGGAGGGGTGCATCAGTCTGCAAACTCTTAGTAAGAAACATCTACAGTGCTTATTGAATTAAAGCACAGATCTCTGGGCCTCAACTCCAAAGAGTGTGATTTGGTAGCTCTGGGCGGAGCCAAGAAGCTGAGCTTCTAGCAAATTCTTGGATTGTGTAGATGCTGCTGGATCAATGTCCAGACTTCAAGATCATTGTGAAGTGGCGCTTAGTCCTGGCTGGATGAGAATCACCTGATTCTGATGCCCAGGCCCTGTCCAAGGCCAATTAAGTCAGCAGTGGGCCTGGGAACTGGTACTTTTTCAGGCTCCCAGAGTGATTCCAACGTGTAGCCAGGTTTGAAAATAGCTGTGGTGTCTGTTTCCTGGGCTTCAACTCACCTCCAGTCAGAGTCACTCCTACCAACAGTTAAGCCCTGGCCACCCTCAGGCCACAGGATAAAGAGGAATGAGAAGCACTGGGCACATGGGGGCAGGAGGGGTAGATGCAGGAGGCACGGAGAATCCTCAAAAGTGAAGCATGCCTCTTTCTCAGGGTTGTTGGGCCCTGGTCCTGCACCCCAAAGGAGACTACATGAAGGGAAACGAAACCACTAACAGGAAACATCCGGCACAGTAGGCAAGGGTTTGCATTGGCCCCGGAAGCCTGCTGAGTAGGCGGCCTTAACCTAGAAAGGAAGAGTGAAACGGTGAGGTTGTCAGCAGCACCTCTACCCCAAGCCGCTCTCAGACCGGGCGCCATCTTCCTGGCCCTGCGGGCAGTGTTGGCCTGAAGGGGAGTCATGGCTACAGGTAAGAAGCTGCAGGTGCGCTGCGTGAGCAGCTAAGGGATGGGCTGCCTCGGGGTGGGGACAGAAAATGCAAGGGCTGGAAAAGCAGTGACAGCAGGTGGGCAAATAGAAAGAGAGCTCTATTAAGACTTACAGTCAGGAAGGCTGGGCCAGGTAAACATCTGAGAAGTAAAGGAGATGGAGAAAAACAGAGCACAGAGCAAGTGTAGAGCAGGTATGGGGTGGGGGGCCAAGTGGTCCTGTAACTGGAAGAGGGCAAACAATAGGCGAGTTTTGATGGTGAGACAAGCTCCACCCCTCTGTGAACTGCCTGGTGGGACCAGGGATGGGACAGGCACAGGGGGTGGCTCCCATCCTTTCCCCACCACTTGCTCCTCGAGGAGTCAGAGGACCCACCAGAGTGCTGGAAAGAGACTGTCATGTGTATACAGTGTGGCGGGAGTGGGAGGGTGGGGGCAAGGAAGGCCCACATGTTCTGATTCCTTGCTGTCACAGCAGCTGCCCAACTGACTCAGAGAGCAACTTGGGGGGGGGCGGGCACAGATGCCACTGACACTGGCGGGAAAGGGTCTCATTATGGTTCGGCATAACTTAAGGAAAATATAAATGATTTGCTCATTTTTCCCCTAAAAAAACTTCAACTTATCTTTAGCATAAATTTTAATAGCTTTTATATTCTTTAAGAAAACTGTAATTGCAACACAAAATGTAATATTTACCCTACAATTTATTATTCTCATCGCCCCCTGAGAAAACTCCGTATTCATTGACCCAAAAAACCCTCTACCCACCGGCAGTCACTCCCCACGTCCCCATCCCTTCAGCCTCAGGCAAACACTAGTCTATGTTTTGTCTGTATAGATGTGCCTATTCTGGACGTTTCAGATCTATGAAACCATGGGATATAATATGTGACCCTTTGTGACTGGCTTCTTCTACTTCGCAAAACATTTTCCAGGTTCACCACACTGCAGCATTGATCAGTCGTACTTCATTCACTTTTACTGCCGAGCAACGTGCCCTTGTCTTGTTACTCCACGCTCTCTTTGTTCATTCCGCAGGACATGGGTATTTGGATTGTTTCCACTTTCTAGCTGTTGTGAAAATGCTGTTGTGGACATTTATTATAAGCTTTTTGTGTGTGTTTTAATTTCATACGAGGTCTGTCTGGAAAAAGCCCAGCCATTGTTAATATAAGGAGAACGGTTTGCACAACATCGATGTGACCTGGCAGCCAAGGAGAGTGGACTGGGATGTGCATGGGGGAACAAGGACAACTTCACTGTACTAGTCAGTGGGGGCAGCAGACACCGTTGAGTGAGCATGTGTATTGTGTGGCCCTCGCATTCAAAATGACTGAGCAAGCAATCGGCATCAGATTTTGCATTAAGCTTGAACATTCCTCCATGGAAATTATTCAGATGATTCAGAAGGCCGCAGCTGTGGGCAACTGGTGATTGGCAGCTTCATCACAACAATGCACCCGCTCATGCATCACGACTTATGCAGAGATTTTTGACAGAACATCAAATCACTCAAGTGATTCAGGCCCCCTACAGCCCAGATTTGGTGCCCTGTGACTTCTGGCTTTTCCTAAAACTAAAATCACCTCTGAAAGGGAAGAGATTTTAGACCATCAATGAGATTCAGAAAAACACAATGGGGCAGCTGAGGGCAACTGGGAGAACTGTGTGAGGTCCCAAGGTGCCTGCTTTGAAGGGGACTGAGGCGTCATTGCCCTGTGTATAATGTTTCTTGTATCTTCTTCAGTAAATGCCTCTATCTTTCACATTACATGGCTGGGTACCTTCTGGACATACCTCGTACACACAGGAGTGGAATTACCAAGTTATATGGTACCTATATGTTTGACCTTTGCGGGGACTGTCAGAGTCTTTTCCAAGATGACTGTGTCGTTCTACATGGCCACCAACAGGAATGTGTGACGATTCTAATTTCTCCACTTCTTCCTCAACAGTTACATTATGTCTTCTTTGATTCCAGCTAGATTCCAGCTGTGTTGGTGGGTTTGAGGCAATGTCCTGTTGTGGTTTTGGTTGCGTTTTCTTAGAGGCTGACACTGTTGAGGGTGCTTCTGTGTCCTTGTTGGCCATTTGTGTATTTCCTTTAGAGATACATCCATTTATATCTTCTGCCCGTTTTAAAAATTAGGTTATTCATCTTTGTATTATTGTGTTGTAAGAGTTGTTTACACATTCTCAACACAAGTTCCTTATCATGTATACAATACAAAAATATTTTCTACCACTCTACGGGTTGTCTTTTCACTTTCTCGGTGGTTTCTTTGAAACATGAATTATTTATTTTCATGAAGTCCAGTGTATCATTATTTCTTTTGTTGTTTGCACTTTTGGTGTCATATATAAAAAAAAAAGAACATGGCTTAATCCAAGGTAATGAAAACTTTTCTTGAAAGGGTACATAGTTTTAGCCCTTATATTTAGGTCTTCGATCCATTTCAAGGTGGTTTATGTATCCCAGGGGGAAAGGGGTCCTCGGTCTCTTGCATGTGAATATCCAGTTGTCCCAGCACCACCAATGAAAAAGACTGTTCTTCCCCACTCATAGGTATTTTTTTTAGAACCCAGAAATAAATATGTAATTTATATTCCTGTTATTCTAGGATAGTATTTCCCAAACTGGTCTGTCATGAACCTTAATAAACGTGTAACAAAAAAAATAAGAAAGTCACATGATTCAACAAGACCCGGGTACGTTCGCCAAATAAAGTTAAACATCTTTTCTCAGCGTAGGCTCCTCAAAGACTTTAGTGCCAGCGTGGTTCAGTGGCTCCCTCATCCTTGCTCTACCAGAGAGGGCTTCTTGTGTGGCCGCTTGTTAGCATCTCTAGAAGCACGTGTCCAAGGAACTCAAGCTTTGGATCCACTCTTTTGAGGGGACAGAACTATTCATTTAAATTCTGTTAAGATGTTCTAACTTTGCCCTTTGAGAATTAAGCCAACCAACCTGATTTCGGGAATGGAGAGGGCGTGTTTTGTAGAGTTGTGTCTTTTATCTGTAGCCAGGCAAGAACAGAAATAAGACAGTAACCTGTGAATTCTTCTGAATTCCTTTTAGTGAATGGTTTAGGAGCCATGTGTTTAGTTTGCTGCTGAAGCACCCATTTTTTAAGCTAAATATTTATATTAAACAGTATGGCTTTTTGACAGTGTGGTTCAAGAGCCACCTGCATCAGAACCACGTGGATGTGGTTTAAAAATGCAGACTCTGGGCCCCAGCTGGTGTGGCTCAGGGGACTGAGTGCTGGCCTGAAAACCAAAGGGTCTCTGGTTCAATTCCCAGTCAGGGCACATGCCTGGGTTTTGGGCCAGGTCCCCAGTAGGGGACCTCAAGGGACAACTACACATTGATGATTCTCTCCCTGTCTTTCTCCCTCCCTTCCCCTCTCTCTAAAAATAAATAAATAAAATCTTTAAAAAATTATAAAACTGCAGACTCTGGGCCCCTTCAGGCCTGATAAGCAGAAATTCTGGAGCCCAGAAGCTGCACTCTTGGGCTGCCCGGCGAGTCTGCGCACACCCACTTGAGAACCACTGCTCATCACTGGATTAAGGGAAAGAGGCAAGTTCTCTATAAAGACATGAGCAGCAGAGGCTGACAGGCACCTAGGACCAGGTTGGCTCTTCTTCACCTTCTTCCCTTCTTTCCTTTCCCTTCCCATCTCCACTGCCCACTACTGTGCCCTTTTGCATGTTGGCAAGTCCTGCGTGAATGAGCACCAAACTCAGGCACACGAAGCGTTTTTTTCTTGTGATGCAGCTTGCCACGAGAGGGCACCAGAGTGCCTCCAAAAGCCGTGTGACACCCTCTGCTCCCCTTCTCCACTGCAGTCTCGTCCAGGTCCAGTCTCCCACTCTCAGACCTGTTCCCCGCCTCACTGGTTCTCAGAATGACACCAGATCACATAAGGATACGTGGCTACTGAGAAAGCACTTACTGGTTGTGAGGCCTGGGGATGGTGTTCAAATGCCTCTGAGCCCAAGTTTCTCATCCTAACAAGGAAACAATACAAACCTGTTATTGTAGTTATTTTTTTCCATTGTTATGCAAGTACAGTTGCCTCCATTCCCACCCCCCATCACTCTCCACCGCCCCACCCATCCCCACCTCCCACCCTCGGTCCTGCACCCTTTGGCTTTGTCTGTGTGTCTTTTATGTGTGTTCCTTAATGACCCTTCCCCTTGTTTCCCCCATTATCCCACTCCCTCCCCCCGCCCCAGTTACTGTCAGTTTGTTCTTCATTTCAACGCTTCAGGTTATATTTCGCTTGTTTGTTTTGTGGATTAGGTTCCACTTACAGGTGAGATCATGTGGTATTTGTCTTTCACCACTCGGCTCACTTCACTTAGCGTAATGCTCTCCGGTTCCATGTTGTAGTTCTTTTAATAGTGAAGTGAGATAATAGAGGTAAAGCTCCTCAGTCAGCTCCTAGGTACTGTTTATTCTACCATAAGGCAGTGATTTGCACTGTTCGGAAAGCAGAAACCTTGAATTGCAAAAACAATATTTTCAAAATTTTATTATTAACAAATCTTAATTCGGTCTGGGCCCTCTCTCATTCCTATACTCAGAAACCACTCCACCTCCTCTGTAATTTTTGACCTGGACCTTATCACTGCACCTGCAGCACAGCCGACGCCACCGGTGGCGAGCGGAAGAGCGCAGGGGAGCGAAGGCAAGGCTCCCAGCTGGGGTCCAAGCTCGCCTCACTCAGCCTCTTCCCCAGGATGCCGCAGGCAGGACTGTTCCCTAACTAACTGTGCTATAATTAACATTACAATAATTCATTCTGTGGAGACAGTTACTGTCATGCGTGCCCTGGTTGTGTGCATGCTGGTGATGGAGGCAAGGGGATAGGAAAGGGGGAGGTGGTGGAGGTGAAGGGATGGTGCACTTTCCAACTGAGCGTCTTCAGAAACTCCACCTGCTGGAGGGATAAATCCCAAACTCTGAGCTTAG